TATTTTGTTTCAGTTCATCATTAAAATAAAATATTGATATGTTATCAAAAACTCTGGTGTCTCTTATGAATGTTTCACCCCCCCTCTCTTATCTGCTTGTGTGCTGGATCTTCGTACAAGGTTAAGACGTTAAACCATATATTTCTCTACCGCCGTGAATATTCCAGGACGCAACAAATATAATAGTTGGTTTTTACACATTATTTAATTTCATACAAAACTAAATAAGATGTCACATAAGCACAAAAATAATAATAATTCTTAAGTAAATTAGAAGTATAATTGCCTTTACTTTAGATAACAATTAATGTATGATATAAAAGTTATATATATATATGGGCACACATCTAGAAATTTCTCAACACCGATTTTAACAAGTCATTTGTTGAGCTTGGAAGAAGATGTCATTGACTCGATAGTCGAATAGACGAGTAGTCGATCAATAGTTAATCTTGAGAAATCATCCTTCCTGAAGTTGTCGCTAGAGCTGTCTTCATATATAGTAGTTACTAGGGCTAACTATTAAGCTTTATTTTCACTTAGGATGAGTTCTTGAATCATAGTTGCCTATGCAATAAGAGTTCTCTATTAAATAGATGGGTATGACATTGAGTCCATTGAACTTACTTGATTTGAATCTGCTTGATTTATTCTGAACCAAATTACCTTCACTTAAAATAAGATGTTTTGGAAAAGTTACAAACATGTCACTTTATTTCATGCTATTTATATATCTAATATCTAAAATTTTAATATTACATTCCTATCACTCATATAAGATTTTAATATCAAATATTTCACTCCATGTTTCATTATCACCGCTCATACCACCCTATAAACTTTAATATTTAATTATGTGCACCCATTTTTATTCTATGTGGGTGATAGATGATAGATATGTAAATAACATAAAATAAAATGGTATGTATGTAAATCCCTCTTAATTTTTTGATTAAAGTGAAGATAAGATTAGAATTAAAGAACAGTTCATCAATAAAAAAGATGGCACATCAGAAATTTAATATTTGTCCCCACAGGTGTAAATACGTGTCACACATTCCACAGGTGAAAACACGTGTCACACATTTCAAACACAATTTTTTTTTTTGTGAGTGGTTAATATTTGGAACACATGGCTCCAGCTACTAACTTCGAACCACAAAGAACACTCACCCGTCAAGCAACCTGTCATTTTTCAGGTGATGTCACCATGGAAATTAATTAGAGATTTTTTTTTTAAAAAAAAAAATTACGGGTAAAGCCTATGTATTAATCTAAAAGATAATTGCATGTAAGAGAGGGAAAACAGATAATAAAAAAGAGCGAACAATAGCCGAACCAAAAAAAGAGGGATTTTTATTTGGTCCGGTGCAAGGACCTAGAGGAAGGTTCGGTTTTGCCTAAAAAAGTGCAAATACCGAGTTTTTTGAAAAAATACCGAGTTTTTTGAAAAACTCGGTATTTGCACTTTTTGACCTATTTTTGCCTAAAACCGAACCTTCCTCTACATCCAGTGAAAGGACCTAATAATTGCTCAAAAAAGAGAGTATGGCGTTGGCTTACTCAGGAGGAGGGAATGGCTTTCTTAAATGAGTGGGGTGAAGCCATCAGCACAAAGAATGCGAAATTCCTTCAGTAAAAAAAAACTAAATTTTAAACATCAAGTAGTGTTTTGATGTAACGGTTGAAAGTTCAATAAGAAACTCCACAATTAAGCTTGTTCATCCTAAAAAATTTATGGAATAGATGACCTCTTGAAAAGTTACACCAACTGAACAAAATTGTAAATCCATTAGGTCAAATCGAACAATATCTCGATAGTTAAAAGTTTGGACTGCCTGGTCAAAATTTATTTAATAATCATAAAGAATAATTACTATTTTTTTAATTATCAAATAAATATTAGTTCAAAAAATAGTAATTATTCATTATAATTATCAAATAAAAATATATAATAAAATAAATAAATTTAACCTTTTCTTATATTAGTTAGGTAAATTTATGATTAATTCTATTATTTTTAGTAAATATAATTTAAAGTATATTAATATTTGTTTAAATTAATTTATTTTTAGCCAAGTCACCAAAAATCCACCTTTGTTTAAATTAACCTTGATACATCATCAAAAAATTATCTTGATTGGGCACCAATCTCAAGGCAAAATCAAGTTGGAAACTTCCAAAATTAAAAATGGGACCATCCAAACTCCGATTTCAGCAAACTTATAGTCAAACTGAGCGTCTCGGAAATACGAACCCAATGAAACCAAATTCGGCTCGATCCAAGCCCAAATGAGTACAAATCAAGGACCTGAAGCGTTGTTGGAAGATTTGAACCACAATTTGTGTTACCAAACGGTTTCCAGACTTAACGAGATTATAGTCGAATCGAGCGGCTCGACGAGACGAATCCAACAAGCCCAAGATTGCTAAATTCCAACATCATGAAAGCCTTCAAAAATATGACGAATGGTACATGATCAAGGGATTCAATATCGGCCGTCCATCCAACCACTCCACATTTACCCCTGATCTCTTGCCTATTTACGGGCCATGCCACTCCACAAAATATATAAATAGACCCCTTATTTCTCTTGAGAGGGGGACCGAAGCAAGAAGAGAAGATAAGGAAGAAGCTCTTTCTCGACCAATGCTGGAGTTTCACCGGACCACCGCCAGACCTTCACCGAACCACCACTTGAGGCTCTCACCTCCGCCGGACCACCGCCTGATGTCGTTGCACCGCCGGACCACCACTTGTGGCCCTCACCTCCACCAGACCACCACCTAACACCGTTGATTCGCCGGACCACCACCTCAGGCCCGGACTTCTTCCGGACCACCACTTAAGGCATTGTGCTCCACCAGGCCACCACCTGAAGCCCGAACATCCACCGGACCACCACTTGAGGCCCAGACTTCCACCAGACCACCACCTGAGGCTTGGACTTTCAGCGGACCACCGCTTGAGGCCCTCTGCTTCACCAGGACACCACCTAAGGCTTAGACTTCCGCCAAACCGCCACTTGAGGCCCATCACCTTCATTGGACCGCCGCCTGACGCCGTTGCTTCATTGGACAACCACTTGAGGCCCGAACTTCTTCCGGGCCACCACTTGACGTCGAGAGTTCTCCTGAAGTACCACCCTCCTACTACGGCCTTTCAGACCCTGATCTCCTGCCGACTACAGTTCTTCCGACCTCCATTACCTATTATGGTCTTTCTGACCTCCATCAACAGACAATGGTCTTTCTAACCCTGGTCTCCTACCGACTATGGTCCATCCGACCTCCATCACTAGACAATGGTCTTTCTGACCCTACTCTCCTGCCGATTACGATCCTTCTGACCTCCATCAGCTACAATGGTCCTCCCGATCTCCATCACTAGACAACGGTCTTTCCGGCCTCTATCCTATCGATTATGGTCGTGCCGACCAAACAAACATGTCAATATTGTAACTCCCACCATGTAATGCGTTCTATGTGATGTACATTTATACCATTAAGCCAAGGCCTTCTCTCTTAGAAGGGCCTCATTTGTAATCGATTGCAAATACTAGTAGATTCATTCATATTGGGCCAGACCACGTGGTTTTTCCCTCTTTTAAGGGGTTTTTCACGTAAAAATTCTGGTGTCTTTTATGAATGCTGCACCCTCTCACTTATCTAATTGTGTGTTGGATCTTCGTACAATGCTAAGACGTTAAACTACATATTTCTCTATCTTCGCGAAATCTAAAAAAATGTTATTATTCTATATATATATATATGACGGGCTAAAATATACCCGGCAATAGAGTTAGAAAGTTTTTGTATCAACGTTGTACGGATATCCAACACACAAACAGAAGATAAAATAACACTAGGGTTTTTACGTGGAGAATCCTTTTCAAAAAACCACTGAGCCATGCCCAGTTGAATAAATTTCACTAGTGTTTGCTTGAGGTACAAGAAGTTGACTCGTACTTAAAATTTAGGACGATCATATTACAATGATTCACTTCCGGATTAAAATCTAATTACAAACAAGTTGTGTATTCAAAATGAATTCCAGAGTCATTTGAAGATTGGACTGAATTTCGGCGTCACTTGGAAGTCGAACGGAACTTCAGTGTCACTTGAACGTTGGGCTAAACTCTCACGGTGATCGAGGAGGAGTTTTATTCCCTTATTCCCTTCTTCACTTTTCTTTTCCTTCTTCTCTTCTTCTTGGTGGGATCCCCTCTTAAGAGAAATGATGAGCTATTTATAGTTTTTTGAGAATGACATGACCTGTAAATAGGAGGAGGATCAAGGGCAAAGGTGGAGTTGATTGGATGGACGACCGATATTGAATCCCTTGATCGTGAATCGTTCTTCAGACATTTGAAGGTCTTAATGATATCGAAATTCAGCGATCTTTGGCTCGTTGGATTTGTCTCGTCTAGCCACTCGATTCGACTATAAGCATGTCATATTTGGAAAATGTTTGGTAATCCAAATTATGGATTGAACCTTCCGAATTTGCTTCGGGTCTTCGATTTGTACCCATTTGGGTTCGGATCGAGTTGAATTTGGTGTTGTTAGGTTCGTATTTCTGAGATGCTCAGCTCGAATATAAGTTTGCTGAAATCAGAGATCAGATGATCATAGATTTATTTTTTGAAATTTCTAACTTTATTTTTTTGTCTTGAGATTCGTGCCCGATCAAGATAATTTTTTGATCATATAACAATAAGAAACCGAAAAATTATTTTCAAATTCTTTTAGAAATAGGAAAATAATTTTCCGGTTTATATATCATAAATCATAATATATACTTAATAATGTTTAAATTGAAAATTAATTTTTAGATTTCTTAAATTGCGTAAAATGTTATTTCAAATTTTTTTTAAAAAATTTTCATCTCATTATATATTTATACGTAATTTTAACTATTATCTTTTTTATAAATTCGCCCTCTTTTTTCCACTACTTCAACACGGCGTTTACGTCTACCACCTAATCGTAATCAATGATACAGATGACTAATAGATTTTTTTAAAGAAAAAAAAACTTCTTCCTCTACAGAAAAATGGAGAACCATTCTATAACATTCATGAATGATGATTGATGAATCATTCCTTATGGCCTAAAATTAAAATTCGGAGGCATGGGAATCTTCTTCCTCTCTGTCCTCCTCCTCTCCTCCACCCTCATCCTCCCCTCTGCCCCCACTGACACCATCACTCCGTCCCATTCTCTCGCCGCCGGAGAAACCCTCATCTCCGCCCAAGGCACTTTCGAGCTAGGATTCTTCAACGTCGCTGCACCTTCCAGCTCTTACTTAGGCATATGGTATCACAAAATTCCCATTCGAAAAATCGTCTGGGTTGCTAACCGCAAATCTCCAATCACCGCCCAAAACGCCACCCTTTCTCTAACCACCAACGGCAATATTCTCATCACCGCCGGCGACGTCCTCGGCGGCGGCATCAGAACCTTTTGGTCGACGAATACCTCCAGCACAAAAATTCCATCTTTGAAACTCGTCGACTCGGGCAACCTCGTGCTGACCGACGGTGGATCAAATGCTATTATTTGGGAGAGCTTTTCCGACCCTTCCGACACTTTCCTCCCCGGAATGGAACTCGGATTAGACCTAAGACGTCACCTTGAAAGGAAACTCACGTCCTGGAAATCCCCCGACGACCCCTCGCCGGGTGGGTACACCTACGGTGTTCGCCGCACCGGTTCATCCGAGCTCGTACTCAAGAATGGTTCAAACATCGAGTTTCGAACCGGGCTATGGACCGGAGTTTCATGGAGCGGCATTCCCCAAATGATTTCGGACGCCCACTTCATCTACACCTTCGTGGTTCAACCTGACCAAATTTTCTACAAATACGAATCGATAAATAAGTCTGTAATGAGTTTTATAACCGTCGATCCCAGCGGCCATATACAACGGCTGGTATGGCTCGACGGCCAGTGGAGGCAGTACTGTACACTGCAGCTGAACAATTGCGACCGGTACGGCACGTGCGGGGTGTTCGGGATATGCAACGTGTATTACTCTGAAGGGGTTTGTAAGTGTTTACAGGGATTTGAACCAAGGACTATGGTGGATTGGACGTTGATGGATTATTCGGGCGGGTGTAAGAGGAGGACGGCATTGGCTTGCTCAGGAGGAGGGGATGGTTTCGTTAAGGTGAGTGGCGTGAAGTCACCGGACACGGAGAACGTGACGGTGGCTGCCGGCCTGGGACTGGAGGGCTGTCGTGCGTTGTGTTTGCGGAATTGCTCATGTGTGGCTTATGTTATGGTTGGTGAGAATTGTTTGTGGTGGACTGGTAAGCTAATGGACATCAAGGAGTTTGCTCAAGGGACTCAAGGAGGTGTGGATCTCTACCTCCGGCTAGCTGCCGCTGATTTGGGTATGATCTTTAGGCCTTATTTAAATAAAACGGACGTATTAGCCATTGTTAATTAACTACTCTTTCCAAAAAAATATCCTATTTGCTTTGCCACCCGTTGACGTAAGAAGTTCTTATGTAGATTCAGAAGAAAGTGCCTCAAGCAAGAGGAAGCATATAGTTGCAGTAGTCATCCCATTGGGGCTAGCTTTTATCATATTCTCCTGCTTTGGGATATATACATTAAGGAAGAAAAGAAAGCAGGGTAAGTTATCTATCAAGATGTACCTTCAAAATTTGTTTTTTTATTTGTAATGATAGAAATTATTTAAATAGCTGTTGCTTTTAATGATCAACTTATCAGCTCCAAGTTCTGTGGCATTCCCCTGAAACATAAACTTGAAGAAATTAATTCCTTAATGTGAAATAAATAAATAATGACAACATGTAAGTAAAAAAGAAAAAAAAAACTAAGTATTATGTTAATTACTTTTGATTGTTTAAACCTTGCTTGCTAGGTGTAGGGCATGGTTATGTGAAGGAGAGCAGAGGAAAAGAGATGGAACTTCCCGTATTTGATATGTCAGCAATTGAGATTGCTACAAATAACTTTTCTGATGAAAATAAGCTTGGACAGGGCGGATTTGGCCCTGTTTATAAGGTAACTTTGCCACTCATCGTTTAACCATTTAATCTACTGACAACAGTTTGTTGAATCAACATGAAATTTCCTTATGGTAAGAAACCTCATCAATTTTAGTTCTCTCCCTCATGTTTGATATGAAATGCTTGAATCATTTAGCTAGACGCTTTTAATCCCCCATCTATTTTTTCATTGGGCAAATTATATGGATTTTCAATTATGAGTATAAACATGTTATCTTGTTCATGCAGTATCTAAACAGAACTGCAAAAGTTGGAAGATGTAAATATGCACTATTTTGAAGCTGCTTGAATGTTGAAATTTGTAGGGTCATTTAGAAGATGGACAAGAGATTGCTGTCAAGAGATTATCTAGAAATTCTGGTCAAGGGTTGGATGAGTTCATGAATGAGGTTAGGTTAATTTCCAAACTTCAACACAGGAATCTAGTTCGTCTTCTTGGCTGTTGCATCCATGGAGAGGAAAGGTTATTGATTTATGAGTACATGCCCAACAAAAGTTTGGATTCTTTCATATTTGGTTAGTGTCATATACTTCTTCAAATGTCATATTTAGTTTCTTTGTTGAAAGAATTTTATAATCATCTTTGTAATAGTGCTGAACAATCTAACTCAATGCACATGTTGATAGTAGTGAAATGATGTAGGTGCAAAACAGTTACTTCTTCTTGTGGGATTTAAGTAATTTATGTTCTGATTTTTATTGTTTGAATCAAAGCCTGTATTACCATTAGGATAAGCAGCTTTTACATTTATTTGATGGAGCTACTAGGATATATAGCACTAAGTACTTGTTTTCATTGTGTTTATTGAAAATCCTTATTACTTACCCAATTAATGTGCAGAAGTGTGGCTTTTCATTTTCTTGTTCCGCCAGCAGCAAGACAATTAAATTGTAGTATCTGTGCTTGTAGTATCTGTGCTTGTGCATTTATTATTTCTTTCCCCTTGTAATGCTAAACTAACCTAAAATATTGACACAGATAAAGCAGGCAGGTGTCAGTTGAGTTGGCAAAAAAGATTTGATATAATTCTTGGAATCGCTCGAGGTCTTGTCTATCTTCATCAAGATTCTAGATTAAAAATTATTCATAGAGATCTCAAGGTTAGCAATGTTCTTCTTGACAAGGAGTTGAATCCTAAAATATCTGATTTTGGCATGGCGAGGATAGTAGTAGGAGACGAAATGGAAGAAAACACGGAGAAAGTGGTTGGAACATAGTAAGTTTTCTATAACTCTCTATCTCACCAGATATAGTTTGAACCTTCAACATATCTTACAACTCACACATATTTATATGACAGTGGATACATGTCACCTGAGTATGCAATGCATGGTATATTTTCAGTAAAATCTGATGTCTTTAGCTTTGGAGTTATTGTACTTGAAGTTCTTACTGGTAAGAAGAATAAAGTGTTTGATCTAAATGAAAGCCATATGAGCCTAGTAGTGCATGTAAGTATGATTAGAGAAGAGAAATTAATTTATATGTTAGCTTTTGTTTTGCTCCAGTTAAAATTTAGGAATGCTAGTGCAGGCCTGGAGACTATGGTCAGAAAATAAATCCCTGGAGTTGGTCGATGATGCACTGAAGTATGGCTATCCCGAGCAAGAAGTTCTGCGATGCATGCAAGTTGGTCTCCTTTGTGTGCAAGAAGAGAGCGAAGATAGGCCTACAATGGCTTCAGTGGTTTTGATGTTGGGCAGTGAAGCCATGACACTACCTCAACCTAAGAGGCCTGGCTTATATCTCAAAGAAGGTTCTGAAGTAGCAGATTTGTCAACGTCGGACCATGTCGATTATACTAGAAATGATATCACTCTTACAATGATCCATGGTCGATAGAGAAGTTGAACCGAACTTATTAATAGCCGGGGTGGTATAAATGACAGTAAAATATGACTGATGTCCAACAAATTAATCAAGATGTTGCGGCTTTGTTGGGACTGATAAAATTTTTCCAATGCATGGGCTATTTTTACATAGTCATTGTAAATTTCAAGATTATGATAGACAGAAAGATATGCACTGCTTCATCATCAAAAGTGATCTTCCTCCTCACTCAACAGTGCGGCTACTTGATATTTTTGTTATTGGTTCTGTTTCTATGGCTTATAGGCAGCATAAGTGTTACAATTGCTCTATTTTTCTCTTTGGTATCTGATATGTTTAGCTATTTTAATAAAAGTTGAGTTAGGTATGGTTTGCAGTCAAACTCCCTGTTAGTCATTTAATTACTTGTTAGCTTGCTTGTAGATAAAAAAATAAAATTTAAAAAGTGAGGATGCTATTTTTCTTGAACATATAAACTGTGAATTCAGAAATGTCTGTGAATTATATTGAAAATGTTGAGTGAAATAGAAAACATGATAATACAAAGATAGAATAATTCTAGACTAAGAAGTAACGAGTTTTTAACAAAATAAGCTAGAGTGCAAAAATTTGAGTCTTATGAACAAAATGAGTAAAATTGTGTAAATTCAGCTCATTCCTCAACCTTTATTTATAATTTTGGGTTGAGATTCGAGCGTTAGAGAATTGGCTACATATATGATTATACAAAAAATAAGAGACAAATTTACTACTAGTGTAGCATATCAAGCTCCAATGAAGTTGTTGGCTTGGGACACATTAATAGTTGCCAGTAGGCAATCAATAGCTTGCCGTAAGAATCTGCCCCTCCCCGAAGAGTCTTCAGGATCGACTCCATAAATAGGAGTTGCTAGGGCCAACCGTTAAGCTTTACTCGTCCATTGAGATGAGTTCTTTGATCATGGTTGTTTGCTTAAGGCGAGTCTCTAGTAGGCCACCAGTACTGAGACTAAGGATAGGTTTGGAACAACCAAGAGTACGTTTGGGGGGGCGCAACTTTATAATGGAGGTTTAAAACTTTTTAGGTTCGCAGCTTGCTTTTTGCGACCTAAACCCTAAAAACTTTCTGATAGTTGCACCCTTTTCTGATGTTGGAAGTAATATTTTTATTTATTCTTTGGAAACATGTGAATTCTGACTGTTACCAAATTGTTGGAAACCACATTTTCCTTGGCGAAGCTGTAAGCCTGTAAAGCATTGTCATTGATATCCTCACTAGACATTTGCAAGAGGTTGTACCCTGGTCTATGCTTTTTAATGATGATATTTTTCTTATTGATAAGAATGGAGAGGGGGTTGAAGGTAAACTTGAATTATGGAAGTCAACATTAGGAGTCCAAAGATTTTCATTTGAGTAGATCTGAAACTAAATATATGGAGTGTAATTTTAGTAGTAATAGATCTAGTAGGGGGATTAAGACTTTGGATGATCAAGCCATTAATAAGAGTATACTTTTTAGATATATTGGGTATTTTGTTCAGAGTGATAGTGAAATAGATCGATGGGGATATTATTAGTAGAATTGAAATTGGATGGTTGAAGTAGAGGAATGCATCGGGCTTGTTGTGTGATAGAAAAGTCCCTCTCTAAATTAAATGAGAATTCTATAGATGGAGGTGAGACCCCTAATGTTTTATACTTTAGAATGTTGCCATTAAAAGAGAAGCATAATATAAAGTTAAGTGTTGCGAAGATGAGGATGCACAGGTGGATGAGTTGCTTTACTTTTAGAGACAGAATAGGAAATGAGCATATACATGAAAAGGTTGGAGTAGCTCTAGTGGAAGATAAGGTTAGAGCGAGTTGCCTTAGATGATATGGTCACATAAAATGGTGGCCTTCCGATGACCTGGTATGAAAAGTAGATGTATTATATTTGACTTATGTTAAGGAAGGTATATGCGGACCTAAAAAAGACTTGATTAGAAAATATTAGAAATGATTTTTTCATAGAAAAAGGAAAAAAGAAAAAAAATAATAGAAATGACATTTTCTTATTATATTTAAATGAAAATTTAATTCTTAACATGACACAATAAAGAAAAATAATTCATGTATTACTGTTGTATTATTTTAAAATTATTCTGGATGCAAAAAATTTTGTATTACATTGTTATATTCACAACAAATAATATCATTAATAATTTAAATATGAATTATGCAAACTTTTAAAAAAAAATGAATTATGCAAACTTATTTATAAGTATGATCTTACATTTGTAATAAGAAAATATGATGCTCATATATTTTTAAGTTATAAAATCTTTGCTATACGTATCCAATTTTGATTTAAAATTGGTGTTGTAGTAATATTTTTATTTTAATTTTTTTATATATTTAATATTCTTTTACCTCAATATTTAATATTCTTTGAGCTAAACTTATCCAATAACAAGTGATTCCAGATTTTAAATAATTTTAATTGTTTAATTCCTCGCACTAAAATCGTAATGCTAAGATATAGAAATAATTTATTTTATGATATCTAGTCACATCCTTTTTTTTATATAACTTACTCATAAATATTTATCAAAATTGTATTGTTATTCTTACTACAAAAATATTTTATTATGAAGTAATACTATATATTCTAATTTTTTCAGATTATTTTAAACTATGATGGTACATTGTTAGAAAAAAAAAATTATAGTACTTTGATATTTAAAATATCTACTAAAATTGGATACGAATTTAATTTAAAATTGTTAGTTTGTTATTATATTTATTTTAAAAAAATGACAGATAAATATTATCTTTGACATATCATAAAAAATTTATCTTGATCAGACACGAATCTAGATGCAAAATTGAGTTGAAAGCTTCAAAAATTAAATTTGGGACCATCAAAACTTCAATATCAGCTAAATTATAATCAAACTGAATGTCTTGAAAAGATAAACCAAACAACACCAAATTCATCTCAATCTGAACCCAAATGGATCCAAATCGAAGACTCAAAAAGCATTTTTGGAAAGTTCAATTCATAATTTGGATTATTAAACGAATTCGAAATGTGACATGCTTATAGTCGAATCGAGCGGCTCAACCAGAGGAATCCAACGAACCCAAGATCAAGGAATTTTAATATCATTAAGATATTAAAATGCCTAATGAACAATCATAATCAAATGGATCAATATTGGCCGTTCATTCAAACGACTCCCATCTTGACCATGATACTCTCCATATTTACAAGCCATGTCACTCTAAAAAAATTGTAAATAGGCCCCCATTCTTCACATGAGAGGGGAGTCACATGAAAGAGAGAGAGAGAGAGAGAGAGAGAGAGAGAGAGAGAGAGAGAGAGGGAAGATAATGAAAGAATTTCGGACCTTACTTGTCGCCGACCACCGCCATAATTCTTCCCAACCACCGTCGGAGTTCTCCTTAATCACCATCGGAGTTCTTCATGAACCTCTGCTCATTTGTAAATCATCATCGGACTTCTGCCCGCTTGTCGAGCACCGTCGGACTTTCACCTATTTGCCAAACAACACCAAGATTTTTCTTGACCACAACCACACTTTTTCTCATTTGTCGACCACCGCTGGAATTCTTCTTGACCACCGTTGGACCTCCGATTGACACCCGATTTCTGCCTGACCACCATCTATCGTCGGACATATGCCGGGTCACCAACTGACACCGAATTTACACTTGACCACTAATCATTGACGGTCATTTCGACCTCCTTCGCCGACTGACAACGAATTTCTGCTCGACCACTAGCTGTCGTAGAACTTACATCGATTCAACAACTGATGCCAAATTTACACCCGGCCACCGAATGTCGACGGTCCTTCTGACCTCCGTCACCGAATATGATCCTTCTGACCTCCGTCACCATACTAAGATTCTTCTGACCTCTATCACCAACTAACCAACTACGGTCTTCCCAACCTCCGTTGTCTTACTACAATCCTTTAATTTCGACAACCATCATTTGAATATGGTCTTTCTGACCTTTATTATCTACCAACTATGGTCCTCTCGACCTTTGTCTCCCACCTACTACGGTCCTTCCAACCGCAGTCACCCGACTACGGTCCTTCCGACCACCATCGCCTAACTACGAGCTTTTCCACCTCCGTCACCCTACTACAGTCCTTCCGATCACCGTCATCCGACTACCGTCCTTCCGACCTACATTGCTCTTCGAACATGGTTCTGCCGACCAAACGAACATATCAACGCTGATTCTTCGAATTCCCACTATATCATGCACTCTATATGAAGTATATCTGCTATATCAAGCCAAGGCATTCCTCATGAGGAAGAGCCTCATTTGTATTTAATTGCTAACACTAGTGGATTCATTCAAGCTGGGCGATGCCCCGTGGTTTTTCTCATTTTAAGAGGTTTCCACATAAAAATTATGATTTCTCTTAAAAACACTATAAACATACTCTCTTATATGTTTGTGTGCTGGATCTTCATACAAAGCTAAGACATTAAACTATATCACTCTCTACTGCCGCAAATTTTCTAGGATGCAACAATCTTTGATCTCAAAATATATAAGGGCATCAAAATAATACGTTCTCATACAGTTGTAGCACAACAACTCGATAATTATACTCCCCAAACATAATATACTTATTTATATACAACAACTTCTAGAAGTCGCTTTCTGTATAACAACTTCACAACATATTTTACTAATAGCTAAAACTATTACACACAAACTCTAAGTTGTGCTTGAAACAATTTGAACCTGTTCATCTTAATTTGAACCAATTTTCATTAGGATGTACATCACTTCTGCTCGCATCATTCCAAAGGTTGGTTGTTTAGGTTAAGCGACGGTCCTTCTGACCTCCGTCACCGAATATGATCCTTCTGACCTCCGTCACCATACTAAGGTTCTTCTGACCTCTATCACCAACTAAGGTCTTCCCAACCTCAGTTGTCTTACTACAATCCTTTAATTTCGACCACCATCATTTGAATATGGTCTTTCTGACCTTTATCATCTACCAACTATGGTCCTCTCGACCTCTGTCTCACACCTACTATGGTCCTTCCAACCGTAGTCACCCGACTATGGTCCTTCCGACCACCATCGCCTAACTATGAGCTTTTCCACCTCTGTCACCCTACTACAGACCTTCCGATCACCGTCATCCGACTATCGTCCTTCCGACCTACATTGCTCTTCGAACATGGTTCTGCCGACCAAACGAACATATCAACGCTGATTCTTCGAATTCCCACTATATCATGCACTCTATATGAAGTATATTTGCTATATCAAGCCTAGGCATTCCTCATGAGGAAGAGCCTCATTTGTAATTAATTGCTAACACTAGTGGATTCATTCAAGCTGGGCGATGCCCTGTGGT